TCCTACGCCTACCTCACCGCCCGCGACCTGGCGCGTGTCGGCCTGCTGATGGCGCGCAATGGTCGCTGGGGTGATCAACAACTGCTGCCCAAAGACTGGATCGCCTTCAACCGCCAGCCGTTCGATAAATACAAAACCGGCCAGGACGAAGCCGTCCCCGGTGGCCATTGGTGGCTCAATCAAGGCGCATCACGTCCCTGGCCCGATGCCCCCGCCGACACCTTCGCCGCCCTCGGCCACTGGGGCCAGGCGCTTTATGTGATGCCCGACGAACACTTGGTGATCGTGCGCTACGGCGATGACCGCGACGGCAGCTATCGCCATAACGAACTGCTCAAACGCGTGCTGGCGGCGGTGCAGCCATGATCCGTCGTCGTCCGTTTACCAGCCTGTTTCTGCTGCTGTTGCTCGCCCTGCTGGGGTGGATCTGGCATGAGCGCGTCAACCTGCAAGCCTTCCCCGACATCATCGCGGCCTACACCGCCAAGGAGTACTGCTCGTGCCGGTACGTGGCGAACAACCCGGCCGAATATTGCCGGGGGTATGTGAAGCAGTACGTGCCGACCAGCGCGTTCAGCGACAACCCGGAGCGCAGTGAAGTGACGGCGAGCGGGTTGGGGCGTACGCACAGTGCACGGTGGCTAGGCGACCGCCAGGGTTGTCGCCTCAATCCCTGACACGCCACCGACCCATTCCATTGCGCCCGGCACACGGCGCAGTTAAGGTTCGTGCAGGTTTTTTGCCTCATGAGTCTTTATGTTCAATGTCAAACCACTGGCTTTCACACTGTTGACCTGCGCCGCTGTGCCTGCCCACGCCGATTGGTACCTGGACAACGAGTCCTCGCGCCTGTCGTTCGTCACCACCAAAAACACCGAGATCGCTGAAGTCCATCGCTTCCTGGTGCTGCACGGCAAGGTCGACAGCAAGGGCGCGGCGCAACTGGAGGTGGAGCTGGAGTCGGTTAACAGCGGCATACCGCTTCGCGATGAGCGTATGCGCAATCAACTGTTCGAGATCAAGACGTTCCCCAATGCGCTGATCAACGCGCAGATCAATCTGCAACCTATCAACGACCTGGCGCCTGGCGCGCAGTTGGAGTTGCGCCTGCCAGTATCCGTGACCCTGCACGGCAAGACCCAGACCTACAGCGCCGAACTGCTGGCGACACGCCTGGATGACCGGCGTTTCCAAGTGGTAACCCTGGAACCGCTGGTGGTGCATGCCGAGGACTTTGACCTGGCGCCGGGTGTGGCTGCGCTGCGTAAGGCGGCGGGGCTCAAGTCGATCAGCCTGTCGGTGCCGGTGGGTGCGGTGCTGATTTTTACGGCGCGCTGACGTGAGCGGCGCGGTGTTCCCGTGGCGCAGCGCCAACCGTTTCGAGTTGTTGATCGACGGGCCGAATTTTTTCCCGCAGATGCTGGTGGGCATTGCCCGGGCGGAACACCAGGTTGACCTGGAGTTGTACCTGGTCGAGGCCGGCGCCTGCGCCGAAGCCATGGTGAAGGCCCTGGTACAGGCCGCCGAGCGGGGTGTGCGGGTGCGTTGCCTGTTCGATGATTACGGCAGCCTGGCGTTTACCCTCGGGCTGCGCAAACGCCTGACCGACGCCGGCGTGGAGTTGCGGTTCTATAATCGCCTGAGTTGGCGCCGCTGGATGCGCAACTTGTATCGCGACCATCGCAAGCTGTTGCTGATCGACCAGGAAATCGCAGTGGTCGGCGGCACGGGTGTAACAGATGAGTTCTGGACGCCGGGGCAAGACACCGCCGACTGGCATGAAGTGATGGTGCAGATCAGTGGCCCGTTGGTGCTGGATTGGCAGGCGCTGTTCGACCGCCAATGGCACGCCAATGCCGCGCGCCGTGAGTGGAAGCCCGCCACTCATTTCGGTTTGCCGCGTTTGCCCAAGGTACCGGCCACCGGGCCAGGCCTGGGGCGCGTGGCCTATGCCGATGCCCGCCAGCACCGGGATATCCTGCAATCGCTGATCCGCGCCTTGAACAGCAGCCAGCAGCGTATCTGGCTGGCTACTCCGTACTTCCTGCCGACCTGGAGCGTGCGCCGTGCCTTGCGCCGTGCCGCCGGGCGCGGCGTCGATGTGCGCTTGCTGCTTACCGGCCCGCGTACCGATCACCCGTCCGTGCGGTATGCCGGGCACCGTTATTACCCGCGCTTGCTGCGCGCGGGTGTGCAGATCTTTGAATACCAGCCGTGCTTTCTGCACTTGAAAATGGTGCTGGTGGACGACTGGGTGAGCATCGGCTCGTGCAACTTCGACCACTGGAATTTGCGCTTCAACCTGGAAGCCAACCTGGAAGCGCTGGACCCTGAGCTGACGCGGGCGGTGGAGGGCAGTTTCGAGCGGGATTTCGAGCAGAGCCAGGTGGTGAGCCTGGAGGCGTGGAAGTCGCGGCCGTTGTGGCGGCGGGTGAAGCAGCGGGTGTGGGGGTGGATTGATCGGTTGGTGGTGAATTTGCTCGACCGACGGGGTTAGCGAGAGCGCCGCTAATCCAATGTGGGAGTTGGCTTGCCTGCGAAAGCGGCCTCACAACCGACCACAATCTAACTGTCCCCCCGCGATCCAAAAATGTGGGAGCTGGCTTGCCTGCGAAAGCGGCCTGACAGCCGACCACTCTACAACTGTTGCCCCGCGATCCAAATGTGGGAGCGGGCTTGCTCGCGAAGGCGGCCTGACAGCCGACCAGAATGTTGGATCAGACCAGGTACATATCCGTTATTTAGGTAACGTCT